GTATTTGTTGTAGTACTCGCTGGGTGCTTTTGCCTTGGTCTCACTGGCCTTCATCGAGTTGTCTGACAAGCCGACCTTTTTGTGGAAGCCGTACATGTTCAACTGCCGAACAAAAGATGCATAGTTGTTGTGTTTGAACAATTCAGGAATCAAGGTTCGTGCAAATTCGTCCTCGTCCAGAACGATGAAGCTGTTCCCATCATCGGACCATCGGATGAGATTCTCGTTCTTGTTGTTATCGAGAAAACTGAAAAAAAAAATCAGCCACTTTTCCGCGACTGTAAATACATCCACGACATCTGGGTACTTCAAAGATTGAGGAGCAATATGGGTTGTCTGTGAATAACAAGTAGTGGCGCACTCACCTGCTCAGTTTCTGCACAAATGGCGGAATCTGCTTTCGTTTTGCCTGTGCATCCTTCTTGGCGAGAGCCGCTTTCTGTTCCAGCTCTTCATCGTCATCTACCGTTTCCCATTGCTGTTGAGGGCTCGCAAATCCATCCCACTGACCACGCCGCGGGGCAGGAGCAAGCTGTTGGTTGGTGTTTCGTCGTACCAATTGGCCAGACATCTCAGCCCCGTCATTGTACCCGTCTAGCGACACGACGCGATTGTGGCCAGCCCCCATGGTCGGGCCATAGTTGTCGTACAGTGATGGGTCAGTGAAATTCATGTCGGTAGCCACTGCCGGGTCATTCCAATTGATGTACTGATCGGTCGGTGCGGGGATATCGTGTTGGTACGTCTGGGCGGGGGGCTGCGGGGATGCGACTGGCGCGCGCCGCTTGCGGTTCGACATGGGGATTTTGGTGATTCAGGCGGGAATTTGGAGTGCTTTCTCTGGGGGGGTTACTCTGTGCGGTGCGTATCCGCTGCTCCCGAGGAGCGTCTGAAAGAATCTTCACGAGGCTCGGTGCGGGATATTATCAGCCTTGCAAAACCGACACAGGCCGCACCAGTGGTGAAGCGCGCAGTTGAGTCAGCGCCCAGGATTGAATGTGATATCTGAGAAGCGCGTCGTGGGCGCGATTATGTAGGGATTCTGGGCGGGATTGTTGATTTGTTTCGTTGTTGGTGTTTTACGGGAATATTGGGCGATTGTCGCCAAACAGCTGGCCGGCTCACACAAAGAGTCGGTAGAAGGGCATCAAAGAGGGCGCAGGCAGGCGGCAGGCCGGGAGAAGGCGGTCGTGGAATGGAGTGGGTGGTTCGGCGAAGGGCGTAGGTGGGCAGACATGGGCGGGCCCAGGTGAGGCCAAGCCAGTGCCTTTATGACGCAGGATGCAAAACAGCAGGCGGCGCAGCGAAGATGGTAGTGGGCTTAAGAGAAGGGATGTTGAGCAAGATGCGCAACGTGTCCGAGCGCACTGTCTGGCCGGAGACAATAACCGGGGGAGGTGAGCGCGAGGCGGCGTCGGCGATATAGCGCGTAGTAGTACTTTGATGGTTCGTAGCGATGAGATGGACTTCACAGTCCTGCCAGCGTCATTCGCTTAGGCGCCCGCTAGCATGACTCGCAGGCTCTGTCCTGGGCTTGTCAGGTGTACAAGTGTGTAGTGCCAACGTCGTCCGTACTTTAAGCTGCTGGCACACTGCAACACTCATCATGCAATTTCACCATGACAGAGCGATTCCCCCCCGGCCAACTTGTCCGATCCAGCCAGATCAGACTTGAGATGCATGGCCCGGTGCACGAGTTTTTAAATCGGCCCGGACAGAGGTGGAATGATGGGAAATCCTCCAAATGCGATAGATGTCTGCCTACTTTCCGATGCATCCAGCGGTCACATGAGCTCAGCTCAGTCTTAAGGGGCCAGGATGCGCCATGGCAGACCCGGACACTGTACCCGAAATGGCTCCCAGAGGAACTGCATCTTACTCAAAACTACGATCCACGCCCAAGGTTGAGATCCTGGCCACCCATCCGACCCATCCACCCTATCCGTTTGAAGAACCGTGCCCAGACCCTACAAGTCCCTTTGCGAGGCAAGAAAAAAAAGCCCGAAACACCTCCCTATCACAAACACTGATGTGGCACATCATACGAGTTGATACCGTCCATACTTGCAGCCCCACAGGCTGTCTCACCCTCGGTCTCATCCGAGCTAAGCATGTCGATATATAAGCCATCACATGGCACATGGAAACAGACGTGGGCACCCAGGTCTTTGCTTTTTTGTTTTTGTAAATTTCTTAGCTTCATTTCGCGCAACGTACATAGGTTGAGTGGAGGAGCCCGGTGTTCAAACTATTCACCTTCCATTATCGTACTGTCGCGCCAGGCACCCAGCACCAACCTAGACACTATGACTGATATCCAAGGCGGAAAAGTGGGGAGAGAAAAAGAGAGAGAACAAAGAAAGAACAATGGAAAAAAAATCAAAAAGACAAGAAACCCACAAACTTCCAACTGTGCGCCGAATGGAGCTTCGATCTCATCTCTCTCTCTTCCTCCGTTCAAAAACTAAAACCCAGTACTACAACGTCGTCGAGGACTGCGCGACTCAATATAAATATGTAAAAAAAAACATATCCCATATGTTCATAAATGCTTTTTTTGCTGTATCCAAAGTTGAAATGCGAGATTGGTGGGGGGGGGGCGTGGGCCCGGTTTAGTTCTGGATGTAATGTCTCTACCATCGTGGCATCATTCTCTTCGTATGCATCGTAAAGTCAATCCAGTGTTAGTAGCGCGGCCAATTGCTGGCTTTAGGCCGTTAAACGTTCGTCGTCATCGATTTCGTTCGTGGGCGCCATCGCACGTGTCGTTGAACGAGTGATGATACGTGCGACAACGGTTAGTTTCGTGCGTGGAGCTAACATACTACTGGCCAACAAGAATCTCCACATTGGATTGCGATGATAGCTCGTCGCTGCCACGATTCTGGTGTCCATTCTGTCGCGGGCGGCTGAAGCCCTGTCCTCGCTCAGGAAGTGGTCCACGAGGTTGTCTGGATGGCCGGTCATCGTAGTTGGTGCTGAAGGTACGGTGTCCACCAATGGGGCCAGGGGCGTCCCAAGACGTCATCTGTCGCAAAGATCGTGGGCTGCTATTCTGCGGGTATCCTGATGAAAGCTGCATTCGGCTCATTTCCCTTTCGAGTAAACCATCGTCACGCTGCGACATGGAGCTGTTTGTCGGGGTGCCATTGGGGTTGGTGGAGCTTCCGCTATAGCCAAGACCCTCGAGCGAGATGCCACCCGGTCGACCAATAGGATGGCTGGCAGTAGAAGGGGCAGGTGACGGCGTGTAAGATCTGAGATCTGCGTAAGACTTGGCTCCACGAAGATTGGGCACCGCGTTAAGACCGCCAGGCGAATCGGGAAATCCAAGAAGACCTGATGGCTGCCTGTTGAAGGCGTTGTAAAAGCCGCCCTCTGCGCGTACGTCGCTGAAATCGGTCGTGGCCGCGCGGTTTAGGTTGCGGCGCGGTTGCTCCAGAGGGTTGCTGGCCATTTGCGGCATCGGGGGGCTGAGCCCCTGAGTATCATAAACCTTAAAGATATGCACCTGGCGCTGATCACCAGTGCCCTTTGAAATGTGTGCAAGACCAAGCTGATGGGCCAAGGTGTGAATGGTACGGCGCTGGAGAGGAGCCAGGTTGGCGGGAAAAGTCATGCTATCGCGATCCTTGGACTCTTTGAATAGGAGAAGCTGCGTATAAAATTGTAGCGATTGCGGGTCATTGAGGTCGACATCTGCGTATTCAGTCAGCACAAAAAAAAATTTCCCTAGAAAAACATTCGGAAAAGGGAGCTAAAAACGTACCGACAGTCTTTTGTCCACTGCCCCTCATGGCTGAGACGGGTGAGGGTGATGTGGCGGGCATGTGGGAGGCAAGAGACCCAAAGGATGCCTGAGACTGAAGACCACCACCAAGCGGCCGGTGTTGTTCCTCGAGCTGTCCGCGTCGCTCTCGCTTCTCTCGTTCGATGCGCTCACGCTCGGCAAGGGGGAGCATCTTCTTGTACTCTACGCGCAGCTTCCTGCCGTTGAGCTCAAAGTGATTCATCGACTCAATGACGGCAGCGGTTTCCTCTGCAGTGGTGAAGTTGGCAAAGGCCAGGCCTCGGAAGACGCCATTGTCAAAGTGGTAGTTGAAGGCGTAGGGAAGGGGCAGGCGCAGCTCCGTCATGAGCGAAACCAGCTGTTCCTTCTTGACGGCAAAAGGGATGTTCTTGATGACGATGGCGGTGGGGATGAGTTCCTCGTCGACGTCATGGCCGTAGCTCGTGTTCTGCATGGTGTTGAGGTTGGAGTTGCCGAGGGCGAAGCTGGGCAGACCCTGAGGCTGCTGGTCCATCCATCCCTGAGAAAGGTGGGTCAGCATCGTGGCAAAAACATGTGCAAAAGGGAGTTGAGGGTTTAGGGGTGAAGAGGTTGGTTGGTTGGAGGAAGAGGAGGCGGAGGCGGAGGCGGAGTGGTTGTTGTCAGGGTCCTTACCGATGGTAGTGCGCTGCGGCCTCCTTGACGCTGCTGCGACTTGATGCGGGCTTGGGCGGCACCTCCCAGGGAGCCCAGAGAGCCGTTTTGGGCAAAAGCATTCGTGTTCCAGGCGGTGGCGGAGCCCATGTCGTAGGCGCCGTAGGCAGCGCCAGCGTGCATGGTCTGGTTGAGGCGCTCGTAGTTGCGCGGCTGGTCGTAGGGGCGCTGGTGGTCGTCTTGGGCGTACATGTTTTGCTGTTGCGGGACTTGGCCGTAGGCGTCGAACTGGCGCGAGGGCATGCGGTGCAGAGAGCCTGTCTGGGGCTGGGATCGTTGGGCAATGGGCGACCGCGACGTGTTGTGGTCGTAGCCCGACGAGTACATTATATGCGGTGAGGATTAGGGGGGTCTTGGGTCGTAAAGAGGACGTAGCGTGCGGGTTGGAGAGGCAGGCAGCGGGCGGCGCAGAAAATTAGGGCGGAGGTACGAGACGGTGGCCCAAGCTCGCGGAGAGGTGAAATGAGCGGAAGGCGACGGTCGCGAACGAGTCTTTGAGCTTTGGAAAAGGGGGCAGATGAGGCTCGAGCAGCCGCGGTCGAGGGTTGGCGGGCTGGCGGGCGTGTGCTGGGTGGACGGCGCAACAGGAGCAAGGGAGCCAGGGGATGCCAGGCGGACCGGACCCAGCGACACTTGTTCCCCTATCGAGCCAAAGCCGCACGTCTGGGTGGGCCGCGAGCAGCAACACGGCCACGGGCTAGTCGATGTCAAAAAAAGGGTTCAAATATCGCCTACGCAGCCTACAGCGGGAGGGGTTGGGGGGGCAGTCAGGGACGAAGGGGGAGCAGTTCCGGGCGAGGGCGAGGGCTGGTGCGTGTGTGCTTGGGTTGCAAAAGTCTCGCTGAAGCCCACTAACGGCGCGGGGAGGCGGCTGCACACGTGCGCACCGACGGTGGCCAGACGAGAGCCGACTCTTTCTCGTGCAGGATGGGTATGGGAAATGCGCATGTGTGGCGGTCGAGTAGACATGTGGACGTGTAGGGCAGTGAGGGTATAACTATGCAGCCAGACTGGGCGTACCAGGCGCACATGTACTTGGATGCATCAGTTCAGTCACATCTCGCACTGCCATGGCTCGTGGGCCATAGCCCTCACACATGGGTGCAGCAGGGACTCGGGGCAAGTGGTACACAGCCAAGTGCCTTCCCTCGCTCCGCTCGCTCCTTCCCTCCCTCTCTCGTCCCACCGTGGCCTCAACAGCAGCCCTTGCTCTGGTCGCTGACACGCCGTTATTACTGTGGCCGGCTTACATGCCCTGCACACTGGCCCTCTTACTCGCGGAGCCACTTCCAAGACCGGGCCGGCCAGCTTCGCCCGACAAGCAACAAGTACTTGTTCAATACGATGGTGGAGGGATGCAGATGCAGCCACAGCCACACAGCCTTGTATGTAGGTACATGTGCATGTACATGCTACTTACATGCTACTTACATGCGCATCTACTTGTGTACACCCACGCCCACACGCACTCACATACATGCAGCCCGCCACCACAGGAAAGAACCATGGCCCGGTAGTCGGGAAGTCGCCAGCTGGCGGGCCGTAGCGTTAGCTCCCCGACTAACAACCGTCCAGCACAGCAACAGCAACAGCAGCAACAATAACAGTAACAACAACAACAACAACAACACCACCAAGGCACTCTCGTCCTCCCTCCTGCAACCCCCCCGCCGCCACCTGCTGCCCGTAACCACCGCAAACATGTCGTCAACCATGATGAACATGGGGCTCCTGCGCCCCTCAACCTCATCGCCATGACGCTTGGGGATGATGACGCGCCCACAAGACGTCGTCAGCTGCACGTTGCCACCAAGAATCCTGCCATTGCACCCTTCACCGCACTGCTCCCCCAGATGTGCACAGTAGTGACCCTGCAATTCCACCCTATCCCAAGCTATCCACCCTTTCACAAATCACCACGCCTGAGTCCCCCCGGTCAATCAAACATGACCCTTGCGTGCACACTCCAAATGCTCTGCATATCCACCGCAAACGGGGCTCCTGGATTCATCAGGCTAGCACCGCCTCTGCGCCATGGTCGTGGATCCCACACGCTCATCCATCTGACTTCCCGCTTTTGTCAACTTTCCGACTGGCTGCCCGACGCTCCTGTCGTCTGAAGGATCGCTTAGTCGCATGCATGGAAAATCATGTGATGCTGACCACTTCGACACACATACACGCTCCCTCGACCCATGTCATCACCCACACCAAGTACTCGCCATTGCAAATTACCCTGCCCTGCTGCCTCTTACCGTGGCCTGCATGGGTGGGGTTGCGCAATTCCCCCGAAGCAACGGCTGTGCTTGCTTACTTACTCTATTCTATACTGATTACAACACACCACACTCAATCATCAAAGTCAAGCAGTCGCGACCATTCGCTCTCACCTACTCGACGGAACTCGGCGCCTGCTGCAAACTGCCCGCTAGCCTCCCACGCCTGCATGGTTGCCTGGTCGTACGGCCCGTTGATGTCCCCCTCGGGTGCATTGAGCCAGTGGAACTCCCACTGCACTGGCGCTGGATTCGGGTTCTTCCAGTCTTCTCCCGTCTCGCGCTTGTACTGCCGCATGATGGATTCACGCGGCAGCTCATAGATGTCCTCCACACCACGGTCCGACAAGCGACTTGCGCACTCGGTAATCGAGTCAATCACCTGCTTTGCTTTTGCTGCTGCTGCCTCCTGCCATGGGTCTGCATCCACCTCCATATTCTGTGCCGCCGCCTTCTTCTTCTTCTTGGCCCAGTTGTTGGTCGGTTTCTTGGGCACCGCCTTGCCGTATCGCACCAGCGCCTCCATGGGTGTTTCTCCTACTTCGAGATGTGAGATAAGCGTGGACAGCACATCGCTGGTCACTATCGAGTCTTCGGCTCGCTCTTTGGCTTTTCGCTCGGCGTCTCTCTTGTCCTGTGCCTCTTTGGCCTTTTTCATGTCCTTCTTGGATATGCCCTCCAACCACGAGTCCTGAACGGCATCAGGGTCAAAAGCCTTGCGTACATAGTTGCCCGCCTCGTCAAAGCGGCCTTCTTCCTGTTCTGCACGCATGTTGAAGGCATCCAGCTTGGGCGCATGCTTTTTCTTGCTGCCCGCACCGAGCTCTTCGTCCATATCAGAGTCTAGCCGGTCGCGCTCCTCATCGTCGCCCTCGTCGCTGCTGCTCTCCACTTCATCTGCCGTGGCTTTGGCGCCTTTTGTGAAATCCACCGCTACGTGACCTCCAGACTTGCTGCTTTCTTCTTGTCCCTCAATCTCGGCATTGTCCAAGAAGCGCAATTTCTTCTTCTTCCCCTGGTCCCGTCCAAGTTCCTCGTCCTGTTCGTCCTCCTTTGGCTCGTCCGCGAACATGTCGTCGTCGTCATCGTCATCATCGTCTTTGGTGGGTTTTTCTTTTTTATGGTTCGCCTCCGCGCGAATATCAAAGTTCTCAGTGGAGCTGTCTGAATCGTAGCCGTCAATGTTGACAGCATTGCGTTTGATGCCTGAGCTTTTCCCTATCACATCGGCTTCCAACGCGGGGTCCTCTTCGTCGTCGTCAGCGTCTGGGGCAAGCGTCGAGGGATTGCGTGGATCGAAGCGAGGTTTCTTGGTCGATGGCTCGTCCTTGTCCAAATGATGAGTCCGTGTGAATTGCTCGCCGGCACGCTTTGGCCGTGCGGGGTTGTACGTGCCGCTGGAGCTAGCCATGGTTATAGCGAAGGCGTAGAGTCGGGGATGCACTCAGGTTAGTGGTAGTATTAGGACGTCGAGGTTTGGTCATCCGCCAGTGACGTCTTCGCGCGTTCTGGAAATTTGGAGCTTGGGCCAGTTGCGGCGAACAGCCTGTGGCTCCGGCATGCGCTCATGGCTCAAACCGCTATCCGTAGTGTTTGCCTACAGTTCGTCATCCTTGAGTCCATACATCTGCGCCCTCTATTGTTTGGTCTTTGTGTCCCGATCTCACGTGCCTTTTCCTTCTCGTGTCTTCCTCGCACCATTGCATCCCCTTCGCGCCCTGATTACTAATTTGGAATGGTGAGAGTGACCCCGCCACTACCACCACCCTGTACCTCAATGCCCGGCTCACCACGTCTACCAGTTCAACCCAAACTTTTACGACCAAGACGACCCCATGGCCATGTATCAGGCTATCCGACGCGGCGGCGGCGCACCTAGGCGCTTTGACGAGTACTTTCGTTGCTACCCCATTGCCATGCTGCCCGGCCCAGAGCGCCCAGAGGCAAACCACGGCGGAAAGGTGTTCCTTCCTCCCAGCGCTCTCGACAAGCTCACCAGGCTGCACATTACATATCCTATGCTCTTCGAGCTTATCAACGGAAAACAAGACGGGAAGAAGACACATGCAGGTGTGCTAGAGTTCATTGCGGAAGAGGGAAAGATCTACCTGCCATACTGGTTGATGGAGACGCTCAAGCTGGAGCCTGGCGATCTCTTACAAGTCAAGTCGACCGACATACCTCTCGGCACCTTTATCAAGTTGCAACCGCAAGATTCTTCTTTTCTCGAAATCTCGGATCCAAAGGCTGTGCTTGAAAACGCGTTTCGGAACTTCTCATGTCTTACCACGGGCGACATCTTTACTTTTGCTTACAACGACAATGTATACAGTATAGCTGTGCTCGAAACCAAGCCAGAACATCCAAGCAAGGCTGTATGCACCATCGAGACGGATCTGTCGGTCGACTTTGCACCACCAGTGGGCTACCAAGAGCCGCAGAGGACGAGCGGGACAAGCACCCCACGCAGTGGAAAGGGTGTCATGACTGGCAAGGGCGGTACTCTGCACCCGCACGGCACCATGGCGGATGCAATCAACTATGCGGCCATTGCGCCATCAGCAACCACTGCCGCCAATGGGGCAAAAGCAACATCATCCAATTTCCTCACAACCGGTCACAAGCTCCTTAAGAAGGGAAGCAAGGCACCCACGCCGCAAGCCTCTACACCGGTCGCAGGCCAATCCACCAATCCACCCCCTACCGTGCGACGCACAAATGGACCACAGCCCCTTAGGTTACCCCCCAATAAGCTGTTCTTTGGGTATGAAATTACGCCGCTCAAGAACAAGGAAGAGGCAGGCGAGCAAAAGGAGTCGAAGCACTTTGAAGGTGGAGGCCAAACGCTGCGAAAGAAGAAGGGGGATAAATAAAGTGCATCGGCTGGCGTTGGTTTGGAGGGTGTGGGTTCGCCTTGCGATATTCAGTGCTCGGAACAGGAGAAGGGCATTTTATTGGCGTTGATTCAAAGGGATGATGGGTGGGAGGAAATACGGGCACATGGCGTTTTTTCTTTTGGCACCGATACCTTTATGGTGGTTTAGAAGAGATTTATGGAAAAACTACATTTACTTCTTTTCTCTCTTTCATTCAAACATGATTCCCCTTTTTGTATTTTGATTTGATTTGATTTGGTTTTTTTTAAAAAAAAAATTGACACGAGGGACATCATCTGATGTGAAGGTGGGTAACGTTTGCCAAGCGGGGCCCTTTATCCACAAGATTGATTTTGTAAGTAAAGTTATCCCATGAACTTGGTCTGATTCCTCGTCGCCACCCCCCCATGAATCCATGTAAAGTAAGTAAAACACCTTCTTACGCCCCGTTCCTGCCGTGTGACCCTTTTCCGCAAACCCACGATGAAGCAAAGAACAAGCAAACACCCATTATCCCCCCCCCCCTCTCTCTCTCTCTCCCCTCAGTTTGATCCCTCCCATCATGGGGAAAATCCATATGAACTCCCTTTGACAAAAAGAGAGAAAGTTATCCCCCCTTGGTACCATGTCCCCACGTTCCACGCCCACGATGGAGGGAGTCTCAGATCTCGTCTTCAACCCCTTCTTCCTGCTTGACGCCCAAGGGAGTATCAGCCACCTCGTGATTGACCTCTTCTACTCCTTCTTCCTTCTTGGCACTAGCAGTATCCTTGTTCCCCTTTCTCGCGCGCGGCTTCTTACTCGGCGTCTCTAGCACAGCGTCGCCATCGTCGGCGTCCTCGTCTCCATTGCGTTTCTTGGCCGACTTGGGCGTTTTCTTCTGACTGCTGTGGCCGGCACCGCCTTCGGGGAGGGTCCAGCCGAGTTGCTCGTACAGGTCGCGTTGTTTGATGCGGAGCACTGAGATGTGGTTGCGGATGCTGCCGACTTTGGCGCCTGTGGAGGGGGGGTGTGTCAGATTTGCGGGAGGGGTTGTGGTGGGGGGAGGCAAGGGAGGAGGGGGTACCTGGGAAGGCAGTGGAGAGCTGCTCATACTCTTCGGGCTTGACGTAGCGGCCTTGGGTTAGGAGGAGTAGCTTTGCGGGTGTTAGTGCTGGGGTGGGGTGAGGAGGGGTGGGAGGAAGTCTACCTTGAGATCATTTGGACCTTCCCACTTGAAGGCCTGTGTTTGTTAGTTGTGGTGCGGTCAGGTTAGCATCGGGGATGTTTACTCCATCAGTGGCTTCGCCGTTGGCTGTAGCTTTCTTTGGTGGCATTCTGTTCTGTTGCTGACTTGCTAATCCGTCTTAGGGTTGCTGTAGCGAGATAACACGGGCTGGCTGTGTTTCAAGACAAGGTGTCAAGAGAGGAGAAGTGGTGGGAGGGGAAACTTGTGTAAGAGGCAGAGGGTGAGAATCTTCTTTGCCAAACTCTAATACTGATGGCAAAAAGCAGTGAGTGGGGAGTTGTACGGCCAGAGTGAGAGTGAGCTTGCTTGCATCTTTGGGTACCGTGGGCTGGACAAGGGACTTGGTCTTCACTTTCACTTCAAATACGAGGGGTCAGGCAGACAGAGACAATGTCCAATTACACACCAAGTACGTAAACACGTGTAGTAGAAGGAGATGGATAGTTTCTCCGAAGACATTGGGCAGAATTGTTTGATACTCGTCCATGCTGCCGCTTGACACACTTTGAGGCGGACGAGCCGCCTGGGGTACCAATTCTCTCTAGGCTTGACAGAGGACGACTTGGGCAAAAAAGGCAAGGACTGAACTGCCGAGAATATACAGGGGAGGATTTCTAGTTTCCTTGTAGCGCAGGTGACATTACATTACATATGCATGAGTGTGAGTATGTAGTATGTATGTCTCTATGTACGTTGCAGGCCAACGAAATGCAGCCTCACTACCTGAGGCAGTTCTAGACTCTGGTGCTCACTAAGTCGGCAGCAGGCAAGCCAAGTGAGTAGTGCGTACTGTCCAGCACGAGTCGGCAGCGTGGCACAACGATGGCGGCCCGCGGCGGACCGTTGTTCGTGTCTGGTCAGAATATACGACGGAGATAGGCATTGCAGGGTGAAAGCCTGATAAGTATGCGTATGTACCTAGTAATTCTGGTCCGGATCGGGGTGAGCTGCTCTTGACATACGTCGCCATGGCGGCGCAGTGCCCGGCGAGGTGAAGACAACGGTCGAGCTGGTCGACGTGGACGTAACGTAGAGCAGAAGCCTTGCCAAGCCGACGGAAGTTTGGGGTGGGTCGGGCTGTGCGTCTGCGTGAAATTTAGGGCTTACGCACAACCGCCGGTGCTCCCGTACCTGTTCGCTCGCCTGTATCGCCCTTTTTTCCTGCTCGCCGCGTGGTAGTAGTGCAACACCAGTGCCCGGGGGAGCAAATTGGTCGTCAGCGCCCTGGCCGAAGTGGCTGCTCTGCCGATGCCGAGTGCCTACTGTATGCGACTTGCGCCTCAGTCAGCGGCATCGCCTCCCTGGCCCACACCGACTGCCGCGACCTCGACAAAGTCACTCCATCCATTGCCAGTGTGCCGTGCTGATGCCACCGGGCCCGCCGGTAGCGCAACTCGCTCGACAGCCTGCTCCGTCTTGTCCGTCTTGTCCGTTGTTTTCAGCACCTGTTTTGGCCCGAGTTAGTAGCGAGCGAACCACAAACCACATGGGTTCACTCACTGCAGAACCATGTGCGCCGCGCTGAGACACGACGGGGGTCGTAGCGTCCAAGCCCCCGGCATACCACTCGATAGCCAAGGCTTCCGCCCGGGTGCTCACTGACGAAGCCTGTCCTCTGTGGCTTGGTCCATGGTCCTCATGTTCACACACACATGACCACGGTCCTACCGCCTCGACGTGGCAGTCCTGGCCAGTCGAATCCTCCCACAGCCTCCCAGCATCTCCCTCTCGGCTTAGCGTCGTGTGAATTGATCTCTTCAACATGCTTAACGCTAGGAGACGGCCAATGGGATCTACACCAGACAAGGGTATGCTTCCGACCGTCTCCAGCGTCGACACTCTGTCTATACAGCAAGCCCTCCAGGAAGCTTTCTTCCTGCCGCGTTTTTCTACCATGCTGTCTCATGTATATATTTCTCCCCGCTTTTTGGCTGAATCTCCCTCTGTTCCTCTTCTCCAAATTTTGGGTTTGACTCGGCTTGTATCAGGAGGCACACCAATTTGCCGCCCCCCTCCCCTTCTTCCACCCCTTTAACAATCCCACCACGCTAGTACCGCAGAATGTGTATCCGCGTCGTTGAAAAGTTTCCCGTCTGTGGCTGTACTTATCACGTTCACTCTGTTGACCGATGCGCCTCGTATGGGCGCCATCCAGTAGTGGACAAGATCATCTGGGTTGGCGCGTCCTGTCAAAATCATGGCACTCAAGCAAAGTGCCAAAGCCAATCTTGCTGAGACCACAAGCATCTCCAGCAGTACTTCAGAACACAATACTCGTCCAGTCTGAGAACCACGAACCAAAGTCGATATGGTCTAGTCGACGGATTTCGAGCATTGTGGGCGAAGTGTTTATGGCAATCCCGGAGTTAAATCCGACAAAAAAAAGACATACGTGTAAGTGTTGTGATTTCCGTTACGCATAACATGACTAATATCCAGATTATCAGACAGATGGCTCCGTCATGGCCAATGAACTATTGGTGAAGAAGTCAACTTACACAGTCTTGGTTCTGCTGTTGAGTCCCTCTACTCACCGCCAACTCTCGACATGCTTGCAATGACAGTAAGCACTGACAGACCAGGACGGCAAATCGTCTGGCAAAGGCAAAGATGAGGCAAAATCACATCAAGAACATGCGTGATGGGATATTGGGCTGCAATTCTGCATCTGCGCGCATGCCTGTTGTGCGTTTGCAAATGGTCCCAGCACGCTGACTGTGTTCGAGAAGCCTTACAACAACCGCGAGTGAAGGATTGACTAGGAGGCTCCCTGGCCCCCCATGTCTTAGCTTCTCAGAACGGCTCTTGCGCATTGGAAACGTACAACGGTGAACTTTATCCGGTCGTTTAGCACGCCTTGTCAGGGCTGATACGACACCATCATCATGGTCTTATCTACCAATCGCCATTTCGCTAAAACGGCCCAGCTTATTGTTCGCTTGGGATGTCTTCAGTGCGGATGCTTTGGCCGTTTTCTCGATTCTTCTCCCGCTTCAACCCCAGTTTTTTTGTTTTGTCTTGCGATTCCGTGTGGGCAGGAGCACGACCAGACGCCTCATCCGACAAGCCACATCGAGGTTATATTGCGAAACCCTACTGTCATGTCCGTATATAGTATATGTTCCGATAAACTATGTTTCCAATTGCCTGGATCCAAGCAGGGGCGGGTGGGGGCCGGGGGGTTGAAAGAGGTGCGCGTGTACTATGCAGAGTAGAACCGCTAATTTTTGTCGGACCCACATATGCCAATAACCCTTCCTCCCTCCGTAGTGACAATGAACTCCCCACCTTTTTTTTTATCCAACGCCTCGGCATTGCGCACCAACACATGTTGGATACCGTACAATATAAATTATCCCACGGAGGTTCAGATAAATAAACTTCTGCCAGGCGGGTAAACCGTCCAAAAGGAACTTGAAAAGCCACAAACAAAAAGCACGGATACACGTCTGCCACTGGGCCCCCGTCAGTGCGGTCTCGGAAATTAACATTTTTTTTCTTGTCGCTCGCGGTGACATATTTGTTCAATTAAGTATGATTTAGTGAACATCACTTGAGCCGCAACGTTATCCCTCGCCATGTATTTCTCTCAACCTCGCCTCGACTTGGCGTCGATACGCGTTTTACGTACTTTCTGGTTTCAAGTGGTACTGTATGCGGAACACGACCACAGCCAAGTCGGCTTTAGCCGTTCATCTCGATTGTTTCCCATTTTCTCGGAAACAAGAGTCTTTTCTTGCAAAGTTTAGAAGCAAAATGGGATCATCCAGACATGTTATAGTTTGGAACTATGGAATGAAGATTCAAGTTACAGAGTTGTGTGAATCCAACTGTCTGTGTATGTTTTTTCTCTTCTTCTTGTTGAAGTCGTATTGCAAAGACTGTCAAACGTGAATCGCTATCAATAGTCGGATTGGCACTGCATAGATGGATATCAATAGTCAAGTGCATAATCGAGTTTCGTATAGAGCAAAAACGCAGGCCCGGAAAAGACCATATCCATGTGAAACATATACCGCCACGTGCATATGCCGCATACTAAGAACCATCCATCGTATCTCGCCCTCTACAAACCTTGTTCATCTTACCGATCTCTTATGCAAGATAAGTTCCTCTTTGAGAATGGGACAGATACCACTAGTACTTTCGTAGTCCAAACCCACACCTCGTTTCATCCACCCTATACGCATCCTTGGCGCATTCCCCACTACATACACTATACTATCCCCTGTCCCCCTATCCTCTTTCCACACCCCATTGCATATGCATTCCCTCCATCTCTCTCTCTCTCTCTCTCTCTCTCTCTCTCTCTCACACACACACACACACATACGGTCAGTGATTCCAGCATACAAAATTGCAAATCTTACTACTGCAGATCTTCCTCTACTACCGAAACAGGAAAAAAAAGCGTCCCCCCCTCCCCTCCTCCCCTTCTAAATCCCGAACTTTCTACCCGAACTTTGTAGCTCCTGGCATAATCACACCCCCCACACGAATGCTGACAATTGCAAGAACAAGCAAGAAAGAAAGACGATAGAATCATATAGAATGTCCATCTCTTATCTACCATGTGATCAACATATTTTCTTTCCCCCAACTCTACGGACCGAAAACAAAAAGGTAAGACTGGTTTTAAAAAAAACCGGACAAATTTTTGTTTTGAGGGGGGGGGGGTTTAGGGTGAAACTTGACAAGCTATCCAAGACAAAAGTGAGAGAGAGAGAAACAAGGCTAGTCGGTCGGACATATTCACAAGTCCGAAAATACGAAATCGTCAGGGGAGAGGGAGGACCGGATATACTTATGCAGCTTACTTTGCCACCATTGTATTTTTTTTTATAAAAAAAAGGGGTATAGGTTGCGAATACAAGATGATGATGAAGAAGAAGAAGAAGAAGAAGAAGAAGAAGAAAGTGGGTAGCGAGTCAGGTAGAGTCTAGGGTACCCTTTGNCACACACACACACACACACACACACACACACACACACACACACACACACACACACACACACACACACACATACATCGACGTGTTTTGCATGACTCGAGTAATGTGTATGACTCGAGTGGCGGGTGTATTCTTCCCATGTCATAAGTCATGATGACAAGGAATGCGCGGATTAGTTCGGAAGATTGAACTGTGTGTCTATACTTGCCCGTTTTTACATGATACCCACAAGGCCTATCCCCGTTTCTCTGTCTGTCACATGGCAGAATTCAACCTTGCCGACAACTACAACTCTACTGACCATCTTTTTCTTTTGTTACACCAGATGTCTTTTCCCCTCATACCCCTCCCCTCGGGGCTCAAGCCTCAGGCACCAAACCAACCAACCCCCACGCATGGACCCTTTCCTCCCGGTCGTAGTTTTTTGCTCGTAGAACATGAAGAGCAAATTCGCACAAGAAAGAAAGAAAAAAAGGCCGTTCAACATCAAAGAACATCAGGACCCGCTCATGGATGCAAAAACAAGGGTGAGGAAGAAGACACTCAATAACAAGTAGAGCGGGTAAACAAAGCCGAAGCAGATAGCGGGACCAATCCAAAAAGAAAAGAAAAGAAAAAGGCTCAGTGCACTTCGCTGTGCTCTTCCTTGGGCTTGTACATGATGGTAGTCAGGAACTGTGAAGAAATTAGTCTTGATGTCTGATATGACCAAAAACCCAAGGACGGAACATACCTTTTGCTTATATCTTGTCGTGGCACTAGTGGCCAAGATATTATCCTTGATACTACTCGTAGCCAAATGATTTAGCACAGTGTGATTGGGGTGAATCAACACGCTGCTGTCGTCCTTCATGGGCGTGGTGCCGTTCAAGATACTCTTGCCAAGGAAACCTGGGAGCGTGGGCGGCGTGGGCAGGTTGTTGGTCATGGCATTTGCGCGCAGAAAACGCGACGAGTCTTCTGGGGCATCAAGGTCAAGAAGGTAGCGGGGAATGTTCTGGTGGTATTTTTTGGTGGGCTCGGGAGCAGGTGGCTTGGGTGGTTCAGGCAAGGGGGCCTTGATGGGCTGCACGTCGGGTGCTGGTGGGAGGAGCTGAGGTGGGTACATGCCCGGGGGAGCTTGTGGTTCCTGCATAGGCGTGACAGCATCTAGCGCACCTTGTGCATCCTTGGACGGGCTAGCAACGGGGGGCTGGGGCTCGGGGTAGGGAACTTCGATGTAGTTGACCAGAATGTTGGTGTAGTCTACGGCAGTTGGCAGCTTGTCGCTTGTGCGCATATCGTTGTCGACCAAGAAGGTCAGATGGTGGGTGCCTGGAGTAACTGAGACGTAGGCAGAGAGGGCGTCCTTTTTCTTGCTAGGACCATTGCGATGAAGCCTGTACTTGCGGTTCCAGCCTGCAAATGTGCCCGTGACATAGACGCGTTCGCCAGGGCCTTCCCATTCAATTAGGGTTGGCACAGTCGGGCGACCGGTGCTGGGGCCCTTGAACTCCTCGCCGAGGTCCTCGTCGTCGGCCGTGGTGGTGCTGAGCATCGAGGAGCGGCGGGGCAGCATGCCCTCTGCCTCGTTCTCGTGGATGGGGCTCCATATCTCCTCGGGGGAGATGATGGGCGAGCCGGGCGTGTGGACCTCCTCTTCGATGGGCAGGGGCATGCGGGGCGGGCGACTGAACTGCGACGGGGGGATGAGGTAGTCTTGCGAGGCATCGGCGGGGTCGATGAGGGAGACGGTGTCGGCATTTTCTCGTGGGGGAGCGGGGACGTCTACTGGGGGAGTTGGCGAGGGCTCGCGGGGAGGCTGTTGGTGTTGGTCTTGGGGTGGTTGTTCTTGGGGTGGCGGCGGTGGCGGTGGTTGTTGCGGCTGTGGCTGTTCTTGTTGTTGTTGTTGTTGTTGTTGTTGTTGTTGTTGTTGTTGTTGTTGCTGCTGCTGCCGTTGTTGTTCTTGTTGTTGTTGTTGTTGCTGTTGCTGTTGTTGTTGTGGTTGTTGCACTGGCACTGTGATGGCTGCCTGTGGTGGGGTGGTGGTGATGGACGGGGCATCGCGGGGCGAGTTTTCCTTTTCGCGGTCCCTGTTGCGGTCCTTTTCCTTGTCGCGATGATGATGGCCGCGGTGGCTGCTCTGCTCGTTGCCCATTGCGGCGTCGTGGGTGTTGTTGTTGTTGATGTGGTGCCGGGCGCTGAAGTGGTCGTGAGCAGCGGCGCGCAGCTGGCTGGCCACGGCCTTTGTGCTAGTGCCAATTGTCTGCGCCCTGCCTCGCGAGTGCGGGCGGGCAGAGGATGGCTGGCTCTCGGCGTTCTCGAGGCTCACGGACGGGGCAGCAGGAGCTTTGGCGGCGCTGAGGGCCTGGATCGACTCTCGCCGTCGCGCCGAGTGGTAGTTGGGGTGCGGGGGGTGAAGGCTGCGGTCGGATGATGGAGCGAGCGAGTTGGGGTTGGGGTGCTGGCCATGTGATGTCGTCAGGCCCGTGGGCGACTGCGGGTTGGACGAGGCCGTCGTCGAGCGCGAGTTCTGGTTCCCCATCTGCTCTGCCCGTGGCCCGTGGCTGCAAGAGTCGACGGCAAGTCACGCAGGAGGGCGCGGCAGAGGTGACAGTGGACAGGACAGGACTGGACTGGACACGACAGGACGCAGGCCAGCCCAGCCTCAAGCTATCGTATTGGTATCGCGCCCGGCCTGCACCCAGCACAGGGATCAACATTTGCTGCGCTGCGTCAATCGCCGATAGCCCTCCGCCCTGCCCAATCACACGCCTGCCCTACAGCACACTACTGCTCTGCTCTACTCTACTCTACCCTACCCTATATACATACATACACCACCACCATCACCACCACCCCTCCATGGACCCCATCGTCATCTACTACATCACCCGCCGCCTCGTCCTGCACCTGGCCCGCTTGACTTGGTGGCCTGTTGCCAAGCTCATCACCCTCGCCCTCATCCTCCTGCGCCCATTCTATCTCCTCGTCTCCTTTGCTCTGCTTCCCTTCGTCCACCTTGCTCACGCCATCTTCCAAGTCGTCTCCCTCCCCTTCACCGTCAAGTGGCTCGAGCAGATCGAGGTAACTGCGAATTCGTCTCTATTCTTCTATCCACGCCCAAAGCTAATTGCTGCAGACACTATACGTCTTTCTCGGAATAGCTGCCCTCATAGGATGCATCACCGGCACCACTCTCTTCATCGTGTTCAGCTTCCTGTCGTCCTCCCTGAGAATTGATGCGCCCAGTGTCCCCGAAAAGCCCATCGAGACGAGAACAGCTGCCCAGTATCGCGCTGAACGCCGTGCCAAGAAAGAAGAGGCCGTCCATCACTTGCCAGCCATCCCCCCCGTTGTTCTCAAGAAGCCTGCTGGGCCCCGTAGGCGCGGACTTCTCTCCCAGGCCATCATCGAAGAGGAGGATTCCGACTTCTGACCCTTGTTCAATCCGCTTGCTCTGTATCCTTGAAGCCCTCCCAGTCCACCACCAAAGTAGAATGCCCAGAGTCTCTCTGTGACGTCACCGAGTGTGTGCTGCATCTCCGGCATGCATCTGCCACTCGGTTACTTGTGCCCAAATGGGCCCGATCCAAAGCTTCTTCGCCCATCGGTTTTGCGTCCAAAGAATATAGTTCCAGGGATATTGCCGATAATACAGAAGGCTGTCTCTGCAACGTGCACGGCCCCAGCCGTACCAACTCTTGGTCCCGGCTTGTCATCGTCCTACATGTCGGCCTTGTTAACTGCAGTGCCGCCAACTGTCATCTTGACTCTCATCACTCACATTGCAGCTCCACTCTTGCGTTTATCTGCACTGGCCATGGTCAGCCAATGGAGCACCACAGCCGCCCATGTGACTATAACCCTTCTTGTCAGCAAATGCCTTTTCTCATGTCATGGCAGTTGTCACCGTCGAATATGCAGATTGTAAAGCACATCTAGAAGCGCAGACGTCAGCACAATTCCCACTTGCTCGACACCAGCTTGACTAACAAACGCTGGCATCTTTCCTTGGTAAATCCACAAAGCAGTGAGGTTACCAGAAGCAGGTAACACAACCAAGAAGCACCCCACCAGTGTCTTGAACAACAGCTTTTCCACTCTTCGTACAAGGCGTTGGTTGACTGGGTGGAGACTGACGGCTGTTCTCTGCTCTGCCTGTCGACAGAGGTTCCCGGTTGCCCCAGCTAATCGACTCGCAAAGCTCGCGCCAGAAGGTCGGCTTCGTCTTATCACGGGACTGAGAAGGTAGATGAAGACAAGAGTGAGGAGTATATTGATGACAATGTCGCATATTAGCAGCGGTATGATGGCGTATGGTTGCAGGCCGATTCGGCAGCGGCCGTCGTCCCTGGAGAGTGAAGTGATGGGCACGATAAACCCAGCCGCACCAATGGCCCCGAGACTGACAAAGATGCCCATGGTACTGAACAGCCAAAGGTAATCGCTCCATCGGGATCGGTAAGGAGCTCGCAGAACGTGAACCCGCTCGACAAGGAAGAGGTACCTGACGACAATAGCGTCAGTGAACCTGTCCTCATGCCCAACAGTCTTCAGAGAGGTGTGTGCTCGACATACATGCTCACTTTGCCGGCCGTGTAGAAGAGCAGACAGAGCCTTATCGCGGCCTTACAAATCGCGTCTGTTGTAATTCCGAGGCCGTTGTGAACAATGGCAGCGGCAATGATAAAGGTCATGGCAGAAATGTAGTCAATGAAGATGTAAATGTGTGTCAGCGTCATGTTCTTGAGCAAATGTTGGTTGAACTGGCGTATCCGGTACCCTGCTCATGTTAACTGCTATGCTTTGGCTATACACAGACTGCACCCCAATGAAGATCGCACCCAGTAACCCTGCCAGCAGACATAGGCAGAGCTTGGATATGACTACTAATGAGATTCGTAGCTTGACAGGGTCGCCATAGTGGAAAGATGCTTGTCGGACAAAGTCCAGTCCATCGTGTGGTGGTGCTATGGGCTGGGAAGTCGCCGATGCCATGCAAAGCGCCCAAATTGCGTTAAAGGCAAAGAGATGTCGCATTGGGGAAGCTATGTTTGTGCAAGGGAACTAGGTAAGCGAGTCATACTGAGAAGTCATGATAGGTTTGCAGGGTGGAGTGTGTAGTGTATACTCTGTGTGTGTGTGTGTGGTATTTGGTGTTGACAAGACAATTGCTATTATTAGCGTTGGTGCAGCTGCGACCATGCAGTCATGCAGCTAATTCACGTGGAAGCGACGAGCCACTCCAGCGGTCCTTGGTGCATTCTTCAGTAATAGCACGTGACCAGCTAATGGAGTAAAGTCGACTAGACAATGCACAGGGCTACGATAACACTGAGATGGAGCGAGACGCTAATCAACAAGATACGGTGTACACGGCAGCCACTTGTGGCGGTCAAACCCAGCAACGGCACGTGAGTGTGTACTTGGTGCCATATGCTAGACACACAAACGGCTGGTGTGGGTGATTGTATTTGAAGCAGAGGTGGTGAGTGGAAGCGACCGGGCATCAAGTATATTCAATGGTGGTGATTGAGTCGGATGGCGCAACAAGGTCTTGGTCGTGGTACGTAATTCGCCTTGTCCTGTCGTCGCATGGTGGCTATCAAGACACGGCAGGCAAGGTGGCAGAATCTGCACAGCAGACGAGGAACAGCGAGGATAGCGAGGATAGCGGCCGTGTGCCTGGCCACTCACTGCAGGGACTGGGCGAACCTTGGATCCGTAGCGGGCGACCACACGCGTCAGCCAGCGGTGTCGACAAGCGTACCGCGCGTACTCGCATCGACCTTGTCCGAGGATGCCAATCCGCGCAGCCCAAGTAGCGTGCGAGGCGTTGCAGCTGTCGTCGCTTGACGAGGCCATAACGGGTGGGTTGCTGCAGCGCCTCGTCATAGGCCGGGTGGTGGAGTGGTGGCTACAGCAACGCCCAGGCCTGTGTGACCTAATCCAAGCAACAACGGCTGCAGCCAGGCTGGGTAGCTGAAGACAGCGGAGACGAGGGCCGCGCAAGCTGCCTGTTGTTTCGGGCGCTGCCTCGTCGGTGTAAGTACGTACTCTGTGTTGGTGAGCGGCGGCGTGTGGGCAAGAAGAGGCCAGCCGGCAACGGCGGCGCATGTGCATCCACTGTCTTGGTGCAGTTCGCAGCAAATGCCGCCCCCACCCCTGAACCCTGGTGCGCTGCATTAACCGAGATTGGCGTCTGGCACTGCCTCTCCCTCTCTGCGCCCTCTCGCCCGCTGCGCCTGGTTTTATTGCGCCCGCCCTGCCCTTCTCCCCCTCTCCCTCCCGCCTGGCACTGGACCGACGCTGATGCTCGTTTTGGCTTGCTTGTAGAGTCTTGCTCCCTCCCTCCCCGCTCCCGCCACTGCTCCTCGTCCATCCGGCCTCGGCCCCGTCCACCACTCCAAACTCGGAGGAAAAGGAGACTCCAAGACGACCAAGACGACGACGACGACGACAGTAATAACAATAGCACCAATAGTAATACAACAGCGCCAGCAGCCAACATGCGCAAGGGCGTCACCATCTTCTTCCTCGTGACCGTCCTGGTCCTCGGTTTCGCCGTCCACAGCGTCTGGACTTTGTTGGGTCTTTTGGTCGCGTCCGGCCGCGAGGACGCCATTCTGCGCGGAGAATTGCCCGCCCCCAACTCCAGTGCAATCGACCATGCGCCACAACTAGTCCCCAAGATCATCCACCAGACATATATCAACGAGAGCATTCCTGCCCATTGGAAGGGCCCCCAGCAAAGTTGCATCGATCTCCACCCCGACTACGAGTACAAGGTACGGAACAGCAGACCTGTTCCGACTATGCGCGGCTGCTAACTGCCCTTAGCTATGGACTGACAAGAAGTCGCGCGAATTCATTGCTGCCGAGTACCCATGGTTCCTTGAGACTTTTGACGGCTACCCCTACCCCATCCAGCGCGCTGATTCCATTCGGTACTTTGTCCTTCACCACTTTGGCGGCATCTACATTGATTTGGACGACGTGCGTACACCCTGTGACACCAAAGCCATACCTGCATAACTGACAATTCATTCACAGGGATGCAATCGCAGCCTCGACCCGCTTCTCGCCTACCCTGCATGGGTTCGACGCACCCTTCCCACCGGAATCTCAAACGATGTCATGGGCGCCGTTCCCCGCCATCCCTTCTTCCTCAAGGCCATTGATTCTTTGACTGACTACAACCGCCGCTGGCCTCTCCCATACATTACCGTCATGGCTTCTACCGGACCCCTCTACCTCAGTCTTATCTGGAGGCACTACAACAACGCCGGTCCTGTGGGACACGAGCGTGTACGCATCCTATTTCCCGACGAATACAACAACCACTCATGGAGTTTCTTCACTCACCACCTGGGAAACAGCTGGCACAGGACCGATGTCAAGATTATCTTCTGGCTCGCCAAGCACTGGGTGCTCGTGACCATTCTTGGATTCGCTGCCGGTTTCGCTCTTCTTGGCTTGATCTACAAGCTTGCCGTCTTGAACAAGCGATCCACTGGCCCTGGCTCACCCAAGATTCGTTTTTTGAGCCCAAGAATGCCTTTTTACCGTCGCATAAGTCAGAAGAGCTTTGAGCTCGACGAGCGACACGAGGTGTAACCGTCGCCCTGACCTTCTCTGCATGATTTCAGCGTTATGTCCGGCACTAACCTGCCTTGCATTTTCCGGCGTTTTCTTGTCCCCGTCGCCCCGTATCTTCGCTTCTCTAGTGGCTTAGCTTGTTTTTTTCTTCTTCATTTTCATCTCGTCTATTTACATCAGGGCAGCGTTCCCTAGTAGCATGTTTTAACTGATTTTTTTCCCCAACGGGCACACACGACACGCTTGATACATGGAAACGGTTGGGCTACCGTAGTTGTTGGAAAAAGTACCGTTTGAACGAGCATCATAGAAAGAGGCTAGACGGGAGCCAGCCCACAGAGGCACGACGGACGAGTCTCCAGGCGTGGACTTGGGCGACTTTTGGCCGTCTTGCCGGACGAATTACTATTAGTTACGATAAGATCAATACCAAACACCACGTCACGTGACGGTGAGAACTCTATTTGCAAACATGGCATGTGAAACGGTTCCTTGACTGTGGAACAAATAATAGTCCAGCGCTGGTTGGAGCCAGGGTGTTGTTGGGATGGATTGGCGACAGACCGGGGAAAAGCATCTTCCCCGCCATTACGCTACCACGGGCTCGCTTCTGATTGGCCCGTCAAGTTGCCCTCTTTGGCAGCCCTGTCCGCAGGTGGACTACACGACACACCACCGACCTTACTATAAATAACGTAACAAGGGTATTCCCACAGCATTTCTATGCAACATGCCCCTTGCATGCACAGTAGAATGGAATGCTAGCCGACTGAGAATGCACCAGTTCAACACTAGTTGCTTGGACAGCCACGCAAAAAGGACAATGACGCAGGCCCGCCACTTCCGTAACAGTGATAACCCTTCCGTCATCGCTCCGCCCCTACCACGTTTAGTAACCATTCCCCAGCCCTCTTGACAGGCCGACATCCGTTGCCCGGTTCCACATGTTGCACATCGCTGCTTGCTATTGACATCCTTCCTCCCTTTTTCCTCTATTTGTTGTTAACCATTCAGTCCAACTTCTTCCTTCTTTCACAACTTGAACACTGTCTACGCTCCTATAATCCAAATCACATTTCCTGTATTCTCCTCCCTCTTTTCACCATGGTTGGATTCACAATGACAATGCGCGAAGGCGCAGAACTTGTGGGCGAGCATGGGTACCGGTACCTACTGGTCAAACCCCTTGGTCAATCCAATGTGTGGGTTGCCGTAGACGCAGCAACCCAAGAGAAGATATTTATCGTCAAGCAGCCGAGCGATGATGACGTCGGCTACGGCTGGCCACGCTTCCAGCACGAGATGGTCATGCATGAGCTTCTCAAGGGTATCCCGACCATTCGACAACAAGTCGACCGCATTCCACCCATGTCCAGGTCCGATCCGCCACGCATTGTTCTCGAGATTCTGCAGTCCACATTGTGGGATGCACGAAGGAAGCGCCAGTTCACCGACGTGGAGATCAAGGGCATCATGCGCTCAGCGCTTCTGGGCCTACGGGACGTGCACCAACGGGATTTGGTATATGCAGGTTTGTAGCCGTGTTTTTTTTTGGCTGCAATATTACCCATCTAAAATTGATTTAGATTTGAAAATGCAGAACATACTACTCAGCGGATTCGAGGAACAGCCCAACGAAAGAGCAGTTGTAGGCGACAACAAGATTACAACCAAACTGGGTGACCTGGGTATCGTCATGGAGCCAGCAAAGGGCCTGGTTCAACCAATCATATACAGAGCCCCAGAAGTCTATTTCAGAAACGAAATCAGCCCGGCCGCAGACATTTGGTCATGGGGGCTGATATACTGTCAGCTCTTGGAAGCTCAAGCCGCCTTCAACAAGTATGGAATATACGACGAGCTTCTCATAGGCAATCAAGGCCAAAAGGAAAGATCAGTTGAGCGAGCCATTGCCCACGACTTTGGCCTGGGAACACTAGACTATTATGATGGATGCCGCCTTCCCTACCGCGACAGCACACACTACGAAGGCCAGCAATGGGACAAGATTGTGGAAAAAGGCGTCCCAGAAAAAGAAGTTCAGTTCCTCAAATGGGTCCTGAACCCTGTACCAACTGACAGACCAAGCGCCCAAGACATCCTCAACTCCGGCTGGTTCACAACCGATGACCAAGCAACCGGCCGCATTGCCGAGACACTCAAAACCCGCGTTGAAGAATCCCGCCGCAAGCACCTCCTTCGCAAGCACAGCGAACCTGTTTTGTCAAACATGTCTGTTCAGCAGCAACAGCAGCACCAGCCTGTCAAGAACACCCAAGTTCCTCTGAATGTTGCCCCTTCGACGACGCCCATGCAGCAGCCAGTCGCCTTTGAACCAATGTCTTTTCAGCCTTTTGAGACGTCGCAGTATTATACTCGGCCCGCGGCGTCGAGGTCTAGCACACAACGTCCCGCTGGTGGCACGTTTATGAATTATGGGTCTTTTATGAGATGATGTTGTATGAAATGGAGTGTTTTTTTTGTTGTTGTTGTTGTCGTTGTTGTAAAAGAAAAATAAACAAGTCAAACAAATCTAATCATGTTCTGAGTGTATGTGGTACTACATCACACGTATTCGAAGCTTCTCTTTTTTTTTCTCTTTTACTAAATGAAGAGCCAAAAACTATAAGCGGGTAGGTCGTGGTGTCCAGATTCAGAGCTTCATGGCCTGTTCCAAAGGATTGAGAATGAATGGCAAATATGGAGAAGGTCTTGATGAAGAGTGGGTGCTTGGCAGAGGTTGTGAAAACCCATTGATAGAGAGATGGACTCGCGGGGGTTTCTACTCTGATGAATGGAAACACATTGCTTTTCCTACTAACTCATTCGAAATGGTATCATGTAAAGCGAGACTGCTACGCAAGAGTACGTATAGGTGTTATCGTTACCTCCCTCATCATTTGTACAACATCCTACTGCGTATAACTATGAATATCTCTTGGTCATACTGTTTATTAGATTACCATTTGAATAAGTTCAAACTGGTTGAGTCATGTACTTAGTGGTAGAATCCGTTTACAAAATTAGAAAACAAAGTAATAGCAGGCTGCGACAGCAACTGAGTTCTTTTATTGTTTGATCAAGCACCAAACAATCTCTTGTGGCTTTGTACATGTATCGCACTTATAGAAGCGTGTTGCCCTCAAATTTGCAGCTTCTGCTGTTGTTGTTTTCGTCGGTTTTGCCACCAACACAGTACAGGACTCCGTCTGACTGGCAAAGATTGGGTGGGAAAGGCGAGCATGGCCATAAGTTCCAGTTCTTGAAAAAGTTAGGATAGGTCCCTGCGCATGAACTTTTTCCTGCGTGGGTATCTTCTACATAGCACTAGATGAGCTGCATTAGAAAAAAACGGCAGAATGAGAGGTTGCCTTACGCAATATACACCAACGCCCTTATCACAGCCTTTAATTCGAGTGTTTGTGCAGCAAATAGCAGACGCTTGGCTAGAGAGAGCTAGCATCCCAGTAATCGTATTTAGCTTCATTCTGGAGAAGATAGTAACTAATAAAACAATATAAAGCCAACACCAGGGGTATTTTTACTTCCGAGTGTTATTTGAAGGATTTGTCTATAGGTCCAGAGTATTAATGTAGGCAAGTTAATCTGTTTTCTTTTCGCAACATGCAGTTCTTTATCAAGTAAAACTTTAATAAGCACCCACTAGGGAATATATTAATTGAGTGTAATTAAATAATTAGGTCCCGTAGCGATAGAGGCCTCCTTAAATTGTCACACTAACTGCTTAAGGAATTACATGCATCCCTACGTGCCAAGGCGCAGAGTGCAACAGGACACCTTCTCTTCTAAGCCCCTAGCAATGTATAGGATACATGATACGCTAATTAGTCGCTTGAATTCTAGGTGTGTGGGTACTCACCAAGTTTTTCAGAAAGGCTACCAGTGATAAAATCGGATATCACTGTGTTGCTGGTGAAGCTAAACTCCTAATCTTTGATGATGAAGCTAGCGATACTGTACTTAAGCGTGTTTAGTGCTTGATGATCTACTGTAATATCTGTTACGGAGGGACAAAGCTTCGCAAAGAGTCAATGTTAAGCCGAAAGAAACCTCTGAATAATTATTAGCCGAAAGATGTTGATTAACCGGAATGCTCGGATAAAAGTCAGCTCCTATCAGGCAAAGCTGTCATTTGCATCTACCATAATGCAGTTAAAAAAAAATTGTATGCAAAAGTGATAGGGTGTAATGTATGGATTGGTATGCTATAGGATCAACTTGTATCATTTTATAATAATAGTAAATGTATATATTGATAGACGCTGCGCTGTTTTGGTGGGCGCACTTTTATCAGAGTATTTCGGTTGAACAAGAGGGACGACAGCCCATACGAGCACAGTACTAAGGCATCATAGTAGAGCGACGGCATCTTCATCTTTAGGCAGCGCAAACAGCAGTGGTTAAAGTCATATTGTAACAGCGAGGCCGAGCATCCGGCCATAGGGAGAGAGGTTACGGGGGCTCAATTTTGAGCTGATAGCCCCACAATACAACACGACAGGAAGCATGACTCACGTGACATGCATCGTCATCAACGTCATGGCCAGTAGTAGCCTTTTTCACTGAATTGTGCAGCAATTGCATCTGCGTCTTAAAATACTGGCGAGACGGCTATCCACAGTTTCTTATACAACTATGAATGACCTACCGCAAGAACTCATTGATGACATCTGCAGCTACCTATCGAGAGAGGACTTGCAGAATCTACTTATGCTTAGTCGTCAGTTCCAATACAGCGTAGAGAAATACTCGGGATTCTTTGAAGAATATACTCTCCGCACAGACAACTCAGCAAAGTTCCATTCTCGATTCTCGTCCTATCGTCTGTCTTCTTTTGAGAATCCCACTCTTGGTTCAGTGTTTTTCAGATTGAAGTCCATGAAATCAATGCCTCTCTTCTTTGCGCGATCGAATACGTCATCCGTGTACTTTTCCCGCTTCTTCTCCAGATGTCAAGTTTGCCATGGTGTGCACAACCGCCCCTCTCGCATTATCTTCGGATTTTAGGGTAACTCTCTGTTCATGTAGCCAATCATTTTTCCTGCCCTGTTCTTCTCTTTCGCAAGTGTATCTGCCATGTCTTTATCATGCATGTACATAAAATTTTCAGTGACTTTGACGCATTATCCGCACTGCTATACGAGTTTGCTCACCTGCGCCGAGTGTTTTGAATTTAACTTCTTTCGACTTGCTTTGAATCAAGACTGTTATTTTTTTTTCTTGAAACATAAACTCCTGGTCTTTTCCGCCTGGCCTTTTCTCCGAACGAAACAACTATATGCAGTACATAATAATTACTATGCTGATTGGGATTTGATGTACAATACGAGAGATTCCATTAGCCAAGAAGTAAATTAAGAGGGACATACATACGTTAGACTTGATGATAGAGTTGAGAGTTTGTTCAAGGAGCTTGAAATCATCGACCCAGTGTCCATCATCTCTATTACTAGTTTTGTGCGGGGATCGGTTGTCGATCAATTTGAATGTGGTCACTTCTAACACTTCCGGAGCAGGTGTAGGACCGATTGATGCAGAGTTGGAACTTTGTATGGAACTAGGAATCAATGTGGAGAGAAAAACTGACACAGAAAGAGGAACTGACGCTGAGAGAGAAATCGATATGGATAGAGAAACTGGAGTAGAGCTAGGATTAGACGCTCCAGATGCAACTGGCCCAGGCTTTCTCATTTTCTAATCCTCGTCAAATCCCTATGATTATTCTCAATATTTACAAAGCTTAACGGTAACCCCTTTCTTGGCCTTCTCAGGGTCAGGAAGAAACGAATGTAAAGTATCTCTGAAAAAGGGTATGTGGATTCTTAACTGGTAGAAATTTCTTCAAAGGCATAAATTTTCTTCTGGAATGTCCATGAGTTTATATCGGTTCATAGATGGCTGTGACTAACTCTCTTCAGGACAACTCAGCCCCATCATAGGATCCGACAAAACACGTCGCGAAGGATCGTTCCTGTGCATATCAAATTGACAGCAGAAAATGTCTCGGCAATTCTAAGCCTTAAGTCGCAGTCTCGTATTCCAGCATATTACTGTGCCACTTGCCAGTGTTGATACTCGATAGCCAACACCAACATACCTCCCTGTATCCCCCACCAGACTACGCTAGCTGTTGAGAAAAATAAACCACCGAAACACTTTTACAATATGTGAAAGCAGAAAATCTAGCCAGTGAAACAATCTTTGTTGCAGAATTGAAGATTGAACAGATGCCTTGAGAGACACATCTGCATGATATCTGCCCAACTGACATATTTTCAATCGCGAGGCGCACTCAAGGTATCCACCCAGCGGCGGTACAAGTCAGCCTGGCGATTATACGTGCTGGAAAGCTCATGTGCGCTCAGCTGGAAGGAAGTCATTACATAGACCCAGATCAATACTGCGTGGAATTTCGCGAAAAACCGCGAGAATGACCGCAAGCGCTTCACATGCGACATTGCGGCGAAGTTTCACAGCAGATGTGGAAAATCAGTCGAGCAGCCCTCCCCGCCCCCTTCCCCGTCCCCCAAAGAGGAAAAAAAGGCTCGCGCTTAAGACCCAAAAATTAGGTCTCCGGTAGTCCAAATAGACTCCAGTGTCTCGGTCAGTGTTTCTATTCCGAACATGTGAAGGTCGGCAAACGAGAAAATCGCCCCTCGTCTTCGAACACGGCCGCATTGCGGCACAAGGCAAACAAAACGTCGCCTCCGAAGAAAGGGTAAATAACAGTTGCATGCAGTAGATGTTTGAGGTCCATTTTGGTCTCTCTAGAGGATGTCATTGAGCTTCTTCGTTCATTGTAAGGTTCCGTAGTCAACTGCAGTGACATCCGCCTATCCGCCTATTATTGACAGACAAACTTCTTTTCTTAAACATCCCCTTGCAAATAATACAAAAACATATGCGGTTAACCATGATAACTGCTTATACCTTTCTCTGTTGTCCTTTTCTGGTTAATCGCTTTGCAGCATGCGCAAAGAGGTCGTAAAGTAACTAGTTTTGTTCGGGTAGTGACGATTTTTGAGAACCCAGTCGTGTAAATTGATTTTGTTCACATATATCCAATAGGTCGTACCATGCAGTACATCGTGTTTAGTCTACGTTCTAATCGTCGTGATACTACAATTAGGAGAAAAACATCGGCCCCGGGCCAAGCAGACCGTGTATATGCGCAGGCGCTAAACCGCATTGGGACGCACCTCCTCACCGAACCGTGGAACACAACAACAGCGACTGCAAACCAGCATGATGGTTTGCATTAGTCTTTGCTGGGGGAATGAATATGGAGAATAGACATCATGTGCACATTGCGTGCGGTAGGGAAAAAGATTACAAGTGCAATGACCATGTATTGCCAGCCTCCGGTGCTGTGATTCGTCAGTCTCGCTTGCACCTCCTTGCCTCCCAAACCGCCCCCAGCGCAACCGCTTGAACACGCTCGACATCGCCGCTCACTGAAACCTTTTCCATCGCCAAACAGCACCCCAACACCGCTTTTCATCACTTCCGACGCGATAGATCGCATGCTGTAGGCCGTGCGACAATTTTGACACCGATACCCGCAATATTGCGACGCGTTGGTGGTTGCAACAGCTCTTGGGCGAGTGACTCACCTCTTTGCTGGTCCGCCCCGGGGCGCCAGGATTTGCATCGCATCCCATACGGAGCCCAACCCAACCACGCATCACGTGCATAGCGACAAACAACAATGACTGCTCGCGTAACAGGCCAGCGCTTTCGCCAGCGCAAGCTCTCTACAAAACAGAATCTACCCGTTGTACGCGAAAACGAGGTTGAACAGCTTGCCGATGACGATGCCTCCCGCCACATTCCCAAGGTCGAGACGGGTGTTGAGAAGGGCGAGGAGATTGTAAGTTGCGCTAGGCCCCTTTGGGCACTCGTTGTCTATCAACGCTTCCCCAGCCTCAACCATGCACCATGTCTTGATTGACTGATATCTTGCCTTACTTACCTCTGCCGTCTTTTCAGTTCAAAAAGCTAACGCGCAGCCTAGGAACACCATTTGCAGGCCGTCATCTCTGCCGCCCAGGCAGCAGCACAAGGTGCAGCTGGTGGAAAGATTGCTCAGCTCTATATCCCAACCCCAGATGCCGTCGCTAGTAATCTGCAGTATGAGGATCTGTATCCCAAGCGCTTCACGCAGCCTGCCACTTACATCAGGTTCTCATCTACTGTTGAGGATACATCTGGCTGCCCATACTGCATGACCAGTGATGATGTCGCCTTTCTCAAGTCTTACAACCAGAAAAGGAGTAAGAACGACCAATGTTCAGAAGACGAGTTCGAAGAGATCATTTACTTCTTCGAGGAAACGACCTCGACGAAGCAGCCTTTCGCAGCTGTCGATAACCCACCTGTGCTTGCTTATGAAGAGCTCGAGGCCGAGTTCGATGAGACCATCAGTGAATCTGCACGCCGGTTTGCAAAGGATGTTTACGAGCACTGGAGGAACCAGCGGCTGCTAAGAGGTAACCGTCCGCTTATGCCGTCGTTGAAGTTCGAGACCAACCTCGAGACCGATGACGCCGATCCATACGTGTGTTTCCGGCGTCGTGAGGTGCGACAGGTCCGCAAGACACGCGGCCGTGATGCTCAGGTGACAGAGAAACTGAAGAAACTGAGAAAGGAATTGGAAGAGGCTCGCCTCTTGATGTCGCAAGTCAAACGACGAGAAGCGATGATCAGAGAGCAACTTGCCACTGACAAACTGATCTTTGAACAGCGCCACGCCGTCAAGGAACTCAAGCGCAGACTCAGTATCAAGGGTGATGACGATGACTTGCTCATCACGCAGAAGGTATGTCGTTGGAGCCATTCCACAGACGCTTTGCACATGACTAATGCGTTGCAGCCCGCCCCCAAGCCCAAGAGAACTGTGGACGTCGAGCGGCAACGCCAGACGTTGCCAGGCATGAAGCCCCCGAACACACGTCCCGATGGGCGTCTTGTGGATGGCGACATCGTCTATCTCGAGGAGCAACAAGCCAAGCGCACTGAGGCAATTGACAGTTTCATCGAAGACAATCTGGTCAAGCACCAGAAATGGAACGTTGGTTGGGTCGATGCAACATGGCGACCCATTACGCCGCCCTTGGAGCCGGCTGCTGCGAAGTCTGATTTCCGTACCGTCTTCACAGAAAGTCAGCTTCCTACGCCCCCTGCCTCTGTTTCTGATGGAGAGGGCGCTGATGCCACAGCAGTGGCGCCGTTGAGCAAGCAACCAGATCCCCAAAGAACCGCACGAATACGCTTCGCTACGCCGCCAGAAGACGTACCGTTCCACGATCAGTCTCGCTTCCGTAGGCGGATTGGGCGAGGTGGGCGAATGATGATTGACCGGCGAGGCGTCAAGCGCCAGAAGACGGAGAAATATGATGACCGTCTAGCTGACCGATGGCGGTTCGCTGGTGATAGTAGTGAAGACGATGAAACATATCCCGTTGATTGGACGGATAACCTACACATCAGATACCGTATCATGATTGAGCGGCAGGGGGAAAAGGCCGCCCAACAACCTCCACCAGGTCCAAGTCGTCGGCCAATTGAGAACCATAATCGATCTGCGTCGGGACATCTTCTTCCTCCTACCCCTACTACTGCCCATGCTGCCAGTGCTGGCAATGCCGCAGCAGGGAGGTGATTTCTTCTCTCATCTTCTTCTATTCTTTGTCCAGCGCTTTGACTCATGGGATGGATTCGGTTCAGGTTTGTCGACAAGTTATACCCTTTGTTTTTATTCGCAGTAGGATCCAAAGATCTCCCAATTTATATACACTAGCTCCACAGGTGAGGGAGCAAGGTTGGTGGATGAGTTT